TATTAGCATAGAAATTTTTGCTGGGCTCTCAAAAATGGAGTAAACTTTTATTACAATGTCTTTTATACATTCTTTGAGAGCAGGAACTATTTCATGTATCTTTATACTCCTCCCAGTTTAGACTCTAGCTGTTCAATAAATATCTGTTGATGTGACTACAAATTTTCATCTCAATAGTCATTGATTTCATGGCATCTGGAAGCTAAGCCTTATGATCTAGACAAGTAAATGCTATGAAAGTTCCAGCTAATGATAATCTAACTGAAAAACCAAAGAGATCAGATGTATGCTAGAAGATTTTCAGACTACTCTTTTGTAGAACTGGAAGTGATTTAACATAGGGAAAATTTAACCATAGGGAAAAATAATTATAAAATAAATATCCTAAGTTGTTGATATATATTTATAAGTTATATTCAGACCAGCCCTAAATAACCATGATATCAAATGGAATCTTAGAATAAGCTGTCTTGGATAAATATCCTATCTTTAACTTTTTCAAACATTATAGTTTTTTTTTTTTTTAATTGCTAGCATCTATGGTTTTCAATAGTCACTCATATGAATATGGTAGAGAAATTCTACAGCTATGTCATCCAAATGCTGACAGACTGGTTCAGTGTTTTTGCTGTGGACAGCGCAAAACTTTTAGTCATGTGAGGAACACTGGAGTTTCTTACGTAACATTGCATTGATCTTAAAGTATAAGCACTGCAAATAATGGCTTTATTTGAGCCACAGGATTGCCTGAAACAGCAGCACATTCAGTTGTTGTGAATACCTGCCGGACTGTTGATTTTTTGCTAAAGTATATGTGCAATTTTGACAACTGCCTCTGCCACAGCATGAACATGATTTTTTTTCTTAATATTCCAAATGATAAAAATGGCATCTGGCAGTATCATTTAGATAAAAACACAAAATTTAGAGGTAGTTGTAGATTTTTCATACTAAAATTAACTCCAAGAGATAACACCAGCACTTTGGGAGGCCAAGGCAGGAGGATCTCTTGAAACTAGGAGTTTGAGGCCAGCCCGGACAACACAGTGAGACCCCATCTCTAGAAAAAATTAGCTGAGCATGATGGCATGCACCTGTAGTTCCAGCTACTTGGGAGGCTGAGGCAGAAGGATTTCTTGAGCCCAGGAGTTTGAGGTTACGGTGAGCTATGACTCTACCTCTGCAATCCAGCCTGGGCGACAGAGCAAGACCCCCACCCTGTCTCTAGTCAAACAAACAAGCAAACAAACAAACAAAAAAAGACAGATACTGTAACTTGGCTATGCTTCTACCAAGCCATTATTCAGAAAACAGTTTTCTGAAACTAAAAGTCATCATGTTCCTATTTTGGTTTGAGTTATCACAGAAAAATATAAATAAATAAAAATAATTCACATTCTCAATTTGTGTTATTCTAAATGAAAATGCAGTATGATTAAGCAGGACAAAGATTTTCATTTTAGTATCTCAATAAACACAGACAGGGAACTGACATTTTCTAGTTCTGCTTTCTCAGTGCATACTGACTACCCTTTTTCCTTAAAACAAACTTACTGTGCTGTCAGAAACGTATCAAAAAATTTAGAAATTATGTCAATTAAAAATTAAACGCACCATAACATTTTAAGTGTTTCACAGAGACCCTTTTTCAAACATGAGAAGTAACCACATAAAAATAACTATTTTTTTAAAAGAGTTCCCTAAAGTAGGCTGTCTGATGCCGTAAGGACTAGCTACAGAATAAGGAGAAAGGAAGGTTTTGTAAAGAGAAGTGGGAGAAAGAGGCTCTGTGGCTCCAAATGTATGGGGCTGGGAGAGGGCTAGGACATGGTGCCATCATGAAAGATCACTCAGGATTCCTTTTGATCAGACATCCTTCAGAGATGTTAAGATGCTGTGTCCCCAGCTCTGGCTCAAACCACTGAAAATTATAAGCTGGTCCTGAGAAAGGTAAGCAGAAAAAAAACTCTGGAGTGAAAAGACACACCTACCATTTCTTTAGCTATGATCTAATTGACTTATTTTGACCTGACCATAAAATGAAGATAACTCACCTTTTAAAAGTTGCAAGATTAAGATAATGTATATAGAAATAAATATGTAAGTACTGAAACATATCTGAAGAAATATTTGCCAAAATGTTAACTGTACTTATCTTTGGCTAGAAGATTTATGAATACATATTTTGTTTTCTTTATCCTTATCTGTATTTTCCTATATATATTTTTATGATTAGTAACTATGACTTACATATGTGATGCATGTAAGTCACTTGGCACAGTGCTGGCATGCATGCTGGCTCAAAAATGGCAGCTCTCATCATTATCAATACAAAAACATAAAGCAAGACATTTTCTGCCCTTTCTTCTTGTTTCTGGATTTGTATATATATGCTTCTCTGTGGAGGAAAAGCCATGAGAATGAGGTTAATTTCACCACACAAAGTCCACGGCCGACTTCCCACTCCTGAGCCAAATGAAAGGTCACAGCTTAGAGGAACAGGTCTTTATATGGTTATGACTTGGTGTTGGAAGGAGTTCCCTGACCATGGGAGAGCTCAGCTCTGTGACGATTTAGCAAAGCAATTCAGAATGGAAGTTGTTCTGGTTATATACCAAATTAATGTACAAAATACCACCTACCTTTCTAGCTAATGTGAATTATGAGGTTGCCTTGAAGAACAAATATCTCCCAATAGAATTCTCAGGTCCAGTGAAACAACCAAGATTTGGAATTTATATGTGTTGCTGATTACACAGGATAGGAACCTAGCTCAGCTTTCTTGTGGTTCTAATGTCTAAATTTAATTTATTTTTGAAATAGTTTAATAATTCACCACAGGCTTCAAGACTTGAAAATAAAGAGTTTGGAAAAACTGCCATGAATGTTTAACCAAAATTATTATAATAATTGCAGGATATCACAGGTAAATGCATTTATATTTACTACAGAAGAATCTCGCACATTTTCAAGAGTGTCAATATTCCTTTGATCTCAACTACAGAGTCAAATACCTCTCTTTGCCCCAGGAGAAAAGAGACTGTTTAATGCTTCTATATAAATAATTTGGGGAATATGAACTTTGAAGACGAAGAGTTTTTTTGTTGTCTCAACTACTGCTTCCAGATTTTTAGTAAGACTTTCCACTCTTTACCTTCTCTTTATATGCAATCTAATAATGCTTGGCAACATTTTCAAAGCTTTGGTAGGTTTAAATTTCTTGTCAAACTTCATTTATATCCATTTCTTCGGGACGAAAAAAGAAACATTCTATCCAGGTTCAAGCACAATAGTTAAAATGAACTATGTAACAGTCCTTTTAGCCACAATATTAGACTTTGCATATCATTTTAAAATTACGTACCTCCCTAAAAGAATGGCACCTTTATTCCCTCCTTCTACCCTTCCCCGCCAAAAGAAAAGATGTTAGCTAAACATCTAGATTTTCGTACACTGTAAAAAATGAGGCACAGGAGCTAAAACCCTAATTAAGTTAAAAAGAGAACAGGTAAATAATTTGATGTTGAGCTTATACAACACTTTCATATTCCGGATCTAGCTGAATACAGTTTTGTGTAAGCAGTCAAGTTAACGTCTCCTCTTAATATAGAATTTTAAAAATTAAAAAAATAAAGCCATTTATTAAGGAGACAAAAAATGGGAGTTGGGGTGGGAAGGAAAAGCAGGAATTGAGGACACAAGCATCTAAGTCTAGGATGACTTTCAATCTCCTTTTCGACAGTTTTTAATTTCTCTCTCTGCTTTATGTTGCCTGAGAACCACGTATGGTTTTGTAAAGTCTGTAACAGTAACTACATCTGATCACCCACAAGTACATCTGTCTTAAGCCTATAAATACTATGTTAGTAATACTAAATTAGCTCCATTGGCTTATTTGTAAAAAGAAAAATATATTATATATTTATATTTTTATAAAGTTAATTAACACTGAGGGCAGAGGAAGGGGAAGGAGAAGCGCTGCGTAATCAGTTTCTCTGGACACGGTAACCAAACAGGAGTCTTGCTCAAGCCACCTGGTCAAGCGGTGTCTGAGGAAGAGTCATAGGAGGCGGAGACGATGAAATTGCCATTGTTGGAGTGCCCAGCCACTGACTGGGCAGCCTGCTGGCTCAGATTGTTACAGATCAGCACCAGCTGATTGCTCTGGGCCTCAGACAATGTGCTGCAGCTCTGATACACACTGAAGTTGGTTTTCCTGCCGGGGATGTTGCCCTTCTCACACATGGTCTTCACCATCTTGGCCAGCTTGTTCTTGCCAAGGGCCTGGCAGTTGTACCAATGCAGAGCCGCCAAGTTCACGACTGGCTTGATGGATAAGTAGAAAGGGGCATCCTCATAGCGCATGGCAGGAGGCCGCCGCTGGGCATACTCCTTATAGTCCTGGACGGGGCAGGTCTGCGGGGCATGCTGGGTGGCATACACACGGGAGTCTGTCCCCCCTCTCTTGGTTTTGGCATTCAGGTCCCCTGTGTCCTGACCCATCCACTCCAAGTACTCCAGACCCGTCTCTGTTACCCGGAGCCGGATATCACCCCATTTTAAGGTAGATCCATGGAAGCCTGTGCAATGCCCAAAAGCTTTTGTATTGTTGAGCCAGACTAGGTTGAGCAGACCCTCAGGATTATATCGGCTTAGCAATCCCCTTTTCCGCAGGATGAGCTCATCAGCAAAGGTGAGCTTCATGGACTTGTGTGGCTTATTTCCTTTTCCTTTGCAGCGGAGTTCAATTTGCTTCTGCTTCAGGGCCTCTTGGGAACGCTTGAATTCCTTATCCCTGGTGATGCTGTAGCCATACCTGTGTTCTTTGAGGTACCTTTCGAGCCCACACTGGTAATTGGCCAAGCTGTTGGGTTCGTATTCGGACCCATCCTTCTGCCTGGCATCAACAAAGAAAGACGCAAGGTAGGCATCCAACTCCTTGCAAGGGATGACATAAATCTCTCTTGTTTCAGAAGGATACTTGGAGATGAGGAACTCACGGAAATTGCGGAGCGCGGTCTGCGTGCTCCGGATGGTTTTCTCGTTCTGCTCCCTGCTGAGCTCAGCTGCTCTTTCATCCTGGTCTGCAACAAATTGGGGGGGAGGGATAGAGAGGGTGTTGATGAGTTCAGACAATGCACTTTCTACTCTGAAATAAAGTTTCCTTTTATAATGACAAGGGAAAGGAAGAATCAATTCTACAGAGATCACTGATAAATGTTATTTACATACCTGTCACATTATAATAGCCAACTTCAGTTTCACAAATGATCTACTAGACAAGCATATAGCCCATTACAAGCAAAAGGAGTTTCCTATGTCACTGGCACATAGTTTAGTGCATGAACATTTGTGGAAAGAGAGAGATTCAAGACGGCCTTCGTTTTAGGAAAAATGTGAAACAGAAATGTGCTATTTATCCTACCGCAGCGTGTAAGGGCCCCATTAGTGCTGACAGACTCATTCAGAATCACTTCATTTGTGAAAACAGAGGTTGTACTGTTTCCATTTTATTGAATTAAACTAAAATATCTGTATTTGTTATTTTAACACATCACTAAAAGACTATTTAACAATGACAAAGCACATCTTTTATGGCAGTTAAATACTTGTTCTACAGCAATTCAGGTAAACATAGTTTAAAAGCATTCTGCATGTAACTGCAGGGCATCTGTAGTAAGTGATGAACGAAAATATTTGGTATTTTGGAGGGTAATGAGGATACAACATCATAGCTATAAAGACAGGACAGTTACATATGAAATAGGCTATTATAGTCAAGATATAAAGAAGGGGGTTTGTCTCCAGGATCTATCATTTCTTTTTATTACTTTATTATTTGTACTCTGCTACCAAGGACGTGAGGTGCCTCTTTCTGTTATGGAACATCCATGATTAAGTAATGATGCCCTAGAATAGCTATCTTCACAGATTCCTGTGGTTCAGAATCACCCAGGATGTTTGATCAAAATGCAAATTCCGACATAGCAGGTGTAGGAATCTGTATCCTAACCAGCATTTCTATGTTCATGATGAGGTTTGAGAGAATACACTTTTAGAAACAAAGTTCCAATGCCTGTGTCCTAGGCAGGAAATCCTACTTTATTTTCGCCAATTTTTAAATAATAGTTAAGTTCAATTATATCATTTAAATGGTTTCATTTCGGTAAAATATAATTTAAATTTAGGGTCTTAACAAAATATTTTGTCAAAAATCACCACTATTATGTTAGACACAGTCCGAGTGAAACCTAAAAGAGAAACCCTAAAGCAAGCATACAATAAAAACAAACGAACAAAAAAATCAGGCTATCCTATTGATTGTTGAGAGGCAAACACAGAGGTTAATTTCAAACAACATAAAACATGTAATTTCTGATTTCTAAAGTATAAGGTAGAAGCATTTTGTTTATCTTAATTATGCTATCTAGAAAAAATTTTTTTATTAACTTGAAAGGCTGCTTGGTGGAAGTCTTTGAATTACGACATCCAATGATAAAAATAAAATTTCTAGTAAACTGAGTTTTATTTACACACTACTTTTTGTATTATTATATACATATATGAATAGCTATGTTATTTTAAAATGACAATCATAAGACATAATTGTCAAAAATCCACATAACTTTATAAAATGATATAAACTAAAATTCACTAAACTAGTTAGCTATTTTTATAGGCACATTTTTGAGGGATCACATTTCCAAATCTCAAATATACAAAAGTTTTATGCTTCAACAGACTTAACTTTCAGTCATGCTATTTTCTTCCAGTTGAAATTGTTGATCTATTAACAATAAAGATGTTTATATTTCCATCAAAAACATGGAACCCACAGGTTGAATGTTTAATTATTTGCCATGCTGGCTTCCTTGACAGTTTACATGGAAAGCCAAAAGGGCCAGCACATCTGTTTTTCTTGGCTACTTGTTCAAATATCTATCACAAGGGTCTTCTAACTTCAAACAAAGATTTTCTAAGAAATAAACAGTCACAGACAACTTTAGGAGAAGAATTTCCAGGTTCTCAACTTTCACATGGGATCTTTTAAACACTTGTCTGAGATGGAGACTAAGTTTGTACATGTTGCCATCTGAAACCTACTACGGTACATACTCCGGGGTGTATTGATTTATAAATTTTGTTTGGTTCCTCAAAGTCAAAGACTTCGACTTTTACCAATTAGGATTTCTTGTCTTTAAATAATTAAACCCATAGCATTCTCTGTCTTATGCATATTTTGACAAAGGTGAAATCTACCATTAGAAACATGGTTTGAGGCCTGAATTGAGGTGTTCTGAATTTAGGACATATGAAGGGGTTACATGTTAATGAGGCTGATTCTTCTAACTAGAACTAGAATATTCTGCATAACTATCAAAAAGCTCAAGATAAAGTAGCAGCTTAAATTTTACTAATTTCTTTCAGATGATTTAGTGTGCTTTTTATTCACAGGGTATTTAATATTATGAAATTGTATCATGAAATACTGATTCTAGCTGGGGTTGCTCCTCTTTTTTTTTTTTCCTGAGATGGAGGTCTCACTCTATCACCCAGGCTGGAGTGCAATGGTGCGATCTTGGTTCACTGCAACCTCTGCCTCCCGGATTCAAGCTATTCTCCTACTTCAGCCTCTCGAGTAGCCAGGATTACAGGCACCTGCCACCATGCCCGGCTAATTTTTGTATTTTTGTAGAGATGCGTTTCACAATGTTTGCCAGGCTGGTCTTGAACTGACCTCAGGCGATCCGCTTGCCTTGGCCTCCCAAAGTGTTAGGATTACAGGCATGAGCCATCATGCCCGGCCTCCTCCTCTTTATTTTATAAAGTATTCACTATTTCCTACCTCTTTTTTTTTTTTACAAAGATAAATTGATTGAAACATGCTGAAAAACCTTTGGGTGTCAATTTGAAAGTAAGTGAGTGGTCAAGAGTTTTCAAGTTCTTTTAAGGGATATGTGAGCAAAAAAGTTTAAGTTTGTTGGATTTAATTCAGCAGCATTAGTCAGTCTGCTATTAGTGGGACTGGTGAAGACAACCATGGAATGGTCCAGAATGCTGGTGTGGATGCTGTCACCTGCCACAGTCCCCTGGGTGGAGCCCTCCTATGTTAGTATCTCCTCCGCATTTCAGCACCATGCTAACACACACAATGACTGACACATTCACACCTTTTCAACTCATCCTCAGTCAAGCCTTGTTTGCAAGACTTTCCCTTCTTTCTACTGGGCCTCAATCTTAATTGAGAAACAGCCATTCCATCTGCAGGATAATAAAACTAAAGACAAATGTCACTCTGTCATATCCTTTCCTAATAGCCTGGAATGAGCCACCAGAGGAGGTTGAAAGGGTAAAGACACTATCATTGATTTTACATGAGTAACAGGGAAGGAAATAGTTTTAAAGTCAAGTAATAGGAATACGTTTTTTAGTTAACAACAAAATTAAATAAGACCAGTGAAGACTGACAGTAAAATAAAAAACTATTACCACTGTCTTGCATTTACCTCTAGTTTTAGAAATTTTTCTGACTCATTACTTTTAAAAGCTTTTTAATAGGTGTAATACACACAATGAAATAGAATAGTCATTAAGTGCATGTGATTAATTTTCACAAATTGAATACATTTGTGAATCCAGTGTCCAGGTCAAGAAAAAGAACATCACCAGTACCCCAAAAGCTTTCCTCGTGTTCTCTTCTTCCAGTCACTCAGTCTCACCAAGAAAACCTGCTATCCTGACTTGAAACATCATAGTTTTGTTTGGCCTATTATTGTAACACATATGAATGGACTCTTAGAAGGTACACTCTTTTGTGTCTGGCTTCTTTTGCTCAACATTATGGTTTGTAAACTTCATCCACGTTGTTGTGTATCTGTAGATAATTTATCCTCATTGCTGCATAACATTCCATTGTGTGAATATATTATAATTTATTTTTCTATTCTATTGGACATTACATTCTATTAGTTTTCAGTTTTTGGCTATTTCCAATATTTGGTGATCATGTGCATGAATCTCTGTTGGGTATATATGTAGGAGTAGAATTGCTGTGTCACAGAAAATCATGTGTTCAGCCTTGATATGAACGACAATTTGCCAAAGTGGTCATATCAATTTACTTTCACCACCAGGAGGAAAAGGTGCTCCATTATCTTCAGCAACACTATATACAGTTAACCTTTCTTATTTTAACCATTCTGCTGGGTATGTAGTGGTACTCCACTGTGGTTTTAATTTTCATTTGGATAACCTTTTTTGTGAAGTGCCCATTCAAATATTTTGTCCATTTATCTACTGGATTGTCTGCTTTTTTTCTTACTGTTTGTAGGAAGTTTTTAACATATTCTAGATATGAATGTTTGTTATATTTATTGAAAATATCTTCTTCAATATATGGCTCGCCTTTTCATTTTTTAATGGTATCTTCTAATAAACAAGAGTTCCTAATCTTAATATAGTCCAATTTATCAATTTCTTTCCTTTATGATTCATGCTTTTTACCTTCTGTTGAAGACATTTTGCTTACTCCAAGGTTATGAAAGATTTTCCATTTCTTCCAAAAGCTTTACTATTATACTTTTCACATTTTGATCTGCCATCCACCTAGAACTGACTTGTACATTTTTATTTGACATTTACCAAAACATCCACCTATATGTTCTGAGGTAGAAATTAAGATTTTTTTTCAATATGAATCATGATCCACTTGATTTTAATTGATAAAATTTGAACAGGCAATACAAGCATATAGGACAGTTTCTAAAAGCTACAAACGGGTATAGAGTGAAAGTAAGTTACCTGCTGATCTCAATCCTTTGTTACCAAGTTTCCCTCTTCACAACAACCAATGTTACCAATGGATTGTATATAATTTTCAATATTTTATATTTCTTATTCTTTTCCTTTCAAAATGGGGGGAGGGGGAAACATACTATACATCCTATTCTAGACTCTGCTTCTTACCATTATGTATTAGAAATAGCACCATATTATTATGCATACATTTGCCTTAATCTTTCTAATAGGTGCATTCTATTATATATGGATATACCAGGATATATTTTTTCTGTTTTCTAACTCC